CGCGTGACGACGCATTCGCGATTCATGCCCTGACTTTTACCTCGCTGCGAAAATGGCTGTATTTAAAGAGCGCTCGGTTTAACCGAACGAAATTGCGTGGCACGGTCATCGCGCTCCAATAATCAAGGATGTTGAATAGTTAAATTAGAACCATCGCGCGGAAACATTCGATAAACCGGTTTTCCCTTATCTCTTAGTGCAAACCAAATAATTAGGAGGAAAAAATTGATTTTTAGCAACGATCCAGTGCCAATCACGTGAGATTTTCCTTCTAGCATTTCGAAATCTCGTGTCGCGAAGCTTTCGATTGAATCACATTATCGACAGCCACGAAAAATGTTATTTGGAAAGGGAAGACGAGGCTGATCGCTCGAAAAAACTTTGTGAACTGTGTCATACATGATCATAAATTTTCTCCGTTAGAAATGTTATCACTGTTTACCGATAAGTTAGACTTTCTGATATTCATATAGCCATTTTTAATTCTAGAGAATACAAGAAATGATGATTGAATAGTAAGAAAAAAAATACCATCAGAATCAATAATATGAACCGATGTTATGTCACGTACACAGGATAGTTCCGAAAGCCAATCGATAGCGACTTAAGTAATTATTAATACGCTTAACGAGATGGTAGTTTTTTCGTCGTTTCACTGACCCGTCTGGCGGGCCGATCAGAAGTAGCTATTTGCAAGTCGTGTCCCTGGCAATTACCAATTACGAACGGTGACACGACGACAACACGAAGGCCGAATTTGCGGTGTGTCCGGTCGCACAGTACCGTCTTCTTGATCCATTAAGTTCGGACGATTAGGAAACGGGCACACTTTATAAGACCCTGTCGAGAGTTCCCCGGTCAGGAGAGTTCTCACCGTCTTGTCGCACGACCGGCTCTCCCGATTCATTTACAAAGCTTCGGTCGGCGTCGGTCGTCGGTTACGATCGATTGAAGCCGGCCGATTTAATTGCGACCGGAATAATTAACTCCGTTTGCCTTGGGAAAAAACTTACGCCGAAAACTACCACGTGGAATTCATTTCCTCTGTTAGCGATGGAGTTCATTTTCTTTGGATTCGAACTACGTTGAATGTAACAGGAAAGCAAGATAGTATATTATTATGTCGTTCAATTTTTATTCGAACTGTATAAAAGTATTATGTAAACTATCTTTTAATTTCACTCAGAACTCTAGAAACCCAGGACCTACGAAACCTAGGACCACATGTTCAAGTGACAACTTTCTTAAACTATTACGACATTTAGCAGTGTCCCTAATAAAACGAGAACGCGACGAGATCGAAAACGATTAAACAAAACAAATCGACCCAACGACCCAAAATAGATCAGAAGAACGCAGCAGGTTTAAATTTAAATAGAACGCACATGTGTCCGCAACGTAAAAAGGAAAAACGGAAAAACAAGCTGAACAGCGAGTGCCATTCAAAGTCTGTTTTCCTCGGAAAGCGGAATAGTTATCGTTCACGGCAACGAAAGGATCGCGGAAGTTTCACATTCGACCCGGTATCGACTCGAGTGCAACATAACAAAGAAAAAAAGAATAATAAGTAGTAACGTGGTTCGATTCGTCGTACGATCGGAAGAGAGATGGCGTAAATATTTGGTCACGTGCAAGTGAACGCAAGTATGCACGTGTGTGCACCGTTGGCCGCGTCGCGTTGCGACGCGACGCTTTCCTCTTCGTGCTCTCCTATCATGCTAGCAGCGCAAACATACACACGGACTCGGTGACAGTCGTTTAGCCGTGTGTCATTGCGTTTGTATGTCGCGTGTTCGTGTTTCTATGCGTCTAACAGTATCTATAGGGCGCCTGTAGGATGTCGCCACGTGGCGCAACATATTTTCAGGTGGCAAGAGGCACAATTTGCCCCACCTAGACGCCAGTGGTGCCACCCGAGCGAATTATGCCAGTCGCGCCAAACAGCTTTTCTCTCTCCCGGAATCACTAGAGTCGGAGCCCGGCGAACGAGACACATGACGGAAAAATGGCCGGTGCACACGAGGAAGATATGTGACGCAGCCTAGAAATGTCGTGAACTTCTGGAAACCCAATTGGCGACCCCGATAACTCGAATTCGCTTCTTCGTTTTTGAATTTTCGTACAACTAATGCCTTATCGGTGGAATCACTGTTACTGGTTTTCAGCTTTGAAAGCGTCGGTGTGATTAATAAAAAGAGGATAATTGATAGACTGCACGGGCAGTTGAAAGGTAAGTCGAGTAATACTGTTTTCCAAACGATCGATGCTCATGAATATTCGTGTTACGTTATCCTAGGAATACGTCCTGCGCGATAAGGTTAGTTTGTGCATAGTACATGTGTATCTATTCGACGGTCGCCATCGATGTAATAATAATCTATCAAGCACAGTCTCTCCGACGGCAATCATTCTTTGTCATTGAAAGCAAACGAACGTCGCACACGTAGCAATTAAATTACATTTACGATCGAGTGTCTAGTGTGTGTCTAGAGTGTGTGTGTGTGTGTGTGTGTGTGTGTGTGCGTATGTGTGCGTGTGCGTGTGTGTGTGTGGCGTCTTGTCCTTGGCAACATTAACTTAAAGAACTATCTATCCACGATACTACGATAGCATCTTCGGGAAATAACGCGTTAAATCGTTGCGTACTCGGCGAAAGATGACGCGCGACAATCGCCTCCGCGACGATTTAAACGGATCCTGATGTGTAAAGGATACACGGCGTTCCGTTAAAAGAATCCCACCTACACAAGAAGCGTGGCTTTGTCCAGGACAAAAACGTTCACTTGAAAATGTGCGAACCGTACGGCGAAAAATACAAAAGGATCGTGTATCCTCTTTGTTTCCTTGAAAAACGCAGGAAAAAAGGGGGAAAAGGTGCTAAAATTTGTCTCCGCGCGTCATTGTTAAATCAACGATAGATTGAATGATCAATATGTACTTAAGAATCTGAGCTAGTTCTGATAAAATATTCTCGAATGTGAAGTTTCGATGTCCACATTTACAATCGTTTTTTAACTTTGAGATGAGTACCAGTACATTTCGTTAACGAAACTGTGAATAGTTTAGAAAAGAGATTAGAACCTTTCCAATTACGGACGGGATCGAGCTCGATATGTATTTAAAAATCTGAAAAGGGACCTTTTCAACTAGTATACGCCGATTTTAACGAAACTTACGTGACACATAGTTCTCAAGAAAATATTTGACACGAATTTTTTCTTATCAGCCAACATTCATTTTGGAGAAGTGAGAACATCTCTCAAAGTTGAGGGTTGAAAGTACATTTTTTACAATATCTCTGAAACTAAGGGGTATAGGAAAGAAATTTTTTTTAAATTGTTCGCCTCAAAACGAACAATTTAGATTTCTTTTCTATACCAGGGGGTAAACTAGGGAGTTTCAGGGATATTATAAAAAATATATTTTCAACCCTCAACTATGAGGAGTGTTCTCACCTTTTCAAAGTAGATGTTAACTGATAAGAAAAAATATGTGTCAAATATTTTCTTGAAAACTATGTCTGACGTAAGTTTCATCAAAATTGGCGTGTGCCAGTTGAAAAAGTTTCCTTGTGAATCAACTTCAATAAGTGTTAAGAAGTGACAAGGTTTTAATCGGTTAGCTTGTACCAACTAATACTCGTTTGTGATTCATTTTTTTGAAGCTCTACAGAGATTCTTGTATCACTAGAAAAGTGGGTATTGCATTACCGCTTGATAGACCATAAATAGCTTCCAACCGCTATTACTCATCCTTAATTACGTTCAAATGGGTTATCACAGACGACGGATCACCCAGTTAACAGGTCGACGAGTACACTCGCAATGCGATCGTTCTATGCAAGTTGGTTTCGAAGGTATCTACTATGGAAACCTATAGCTTTCAAAAACGTACGAGTTGTTCAATGTTAAAAAGATTCAAAATGACCGCGAAAGGAGGCGTCATTGTTCACGCGATCCGTGCATCCGTTCTGCAAGGCGCGGTCGGCTCCAAGGCGAAAAAATTCTCACGGTTCTCTTTTCTCCCCCGGAAAAGTACCATCGTGACCCCGAGAGGACGTTAGCGTTACCGACCTCCGAACTTGTTTAAAACGAGTTTCTCGATTGTGTTGTATTCAGGAGGCGGCTCGTCGGCCGGTGACGAATAACCAACCGCGATTAGCATACTTATGCGGGTACCCAAATTCGGCGAAGTGCACACACACCGGAGAAAGCCGAGTGGCCCGCGTGTGTGCCGTGACGTGCCGTCAATTGCACTCGATTAAGAGGATCCTCGATTCGACCTTGCTTCGCCGCCGTTAGGAGGGTACAAAAGAACGAGGCGAATAAAACGATCTCTCTGGCCACCTTCAAAGGGTGCGCGCGAGACAAAACACTTTTTTTCGACCGAGGAGCAAACTGACAGGACGTTTCGATTTTCGCGTGAGAGAGTGCCTCAAATCGTCTGCGAAAACGAAACAAACACGCGATTACTACTTCTACGGCGTTTCTACCGCGCGAGGTTATCGTTCGTTTGGAACTGTTCAAGATTTTTTAACGTGATTAACTTATTGCTTTGAGACGTTCGTTAATTTTCGTATTTATAGTTGAAGAAACGCCTATGACCGAACCGCTATTTATGTTCGTACACTTTGAAAATATTGAATAAACGAGAAGAATCAACTTTTAGATGAATGATTCTCGTGTCTTATTAATATTTTCATCGCTTATTGTGAACTGAAACATAGTTTTAACGATCGGTTGCGTTCTTTGCGTATCGTTCGCATTAATGATCAACGTGTAACGATAAAAAACGATGTGAATAAAAGTACAATTCTTCTCGTTTACAGCAAACATCAGTATAATGTACAAATAGCACATTATAACGGTGTAAATATGGTACACATATAGAAAGCGATTGAACCCCTCAATCGCGATGATAATGCAAAAACGCATTGTGCGTAACCGTCGCACGATGACTACAATAAACTCTCGAAAAGTACAGTAAATCTTGTGACTCACCGGAATCGGAGGGTGTCTGCACGCCAAGGTGTTCCAGATTCTTACTGATGGGCTGGTTCAGATGATAGCAATGATCGCTCAGGGTATTCCTGACATTGATTTCCTTGTGCACTTGACACTGACCTTTATCTTCCTCCTCTTTCCTCCTGTTGTTGAACCTGAACAGTTGACCGGTGACCTCGCTCACTGGCACAGCCTTGGTAGCCGCCTCCGACATGCACTCAGACAGTTTCTCGTGTATATTGATCTGTTCGTGCCTAAAGAACGGCCCTGTGTCGGAGTCGCTGCTCTCCGTGTCGGAAGAGCCAGAGGTCTGTGGTGTTTCCGGCCTGGTGAAATCACCGTAGGTGTCTAAACTTTTCGCGCGGCACTGTTGCTGGGCCTGCTGATGCTGCTGGTGCTGGTGGTGCTGACCCATGGGCAGCGACGTGGCGGTAGGCACGGCGCTCGCCCGTGATATCAGTAGACTACGTCCCGCGGGCACCCTTTTCTGTATCTGCGAGTCCTTCTTCGCGGGCAACGTCCTGTTGTGCTCCTTGCTGATGCACAGCCCCGCCCACATGCAGTCGTGGTGCCGGATCTTCCGCGACATGGTGCTCTTGTCGCAGAGCAGGTCCGGCAGGACGCCATCGTCGAAGTTGCGCTCGTGATACATGTCTGAGAACGCCGAGTCCACCACCCGTTCCAGCGGGAACTGTTCCAGGTCGAACTTCTTCCATATGTCGTCGGACACCACCGTCGCAGTGTCCTGGGGCTCGTATAGCAGGCCCAGGTCAGAGCAATCCCAAACAGGCACCGGCATCTTGCCTGGAAACGATAGGTAAATATTGTTTGCATTTCTCTATTTCTATTTCGCGATATCGATTATATAATCCTCAGAATTTGGTGAAACTTAAGGGAACGAGTCGCCGAGAAGGTTCGTCGCGAGACTTTGTTGCCGAGTTACGAGGAAACGCGAAAGGATGTGTTTTATGCTGGAACGCTTTATTCGTGTTTATTATGATCTTTTGTGTCTTTGGACGGTACGTGCTGTTATTACCGTTAACGATTGGACGACGGATCGATCGACAATCGAATAAAATACTGGCAGCTGGGTCATTTGCGACGTACAGTAAAGTTTATTATGGTCATTGATTCTGTGTAACCTGATACTTTTGATACTTAATATATCAATAAATTATCTCTTAAAAGTTTGACGAAAATAACCAGTTTATACTGATTAAATGCAGCGAAAGTGATCGACTGTCATAGGAAATCCATTCGTGCCTTTACATCGAGTATAACACTGCGCTAAGCGTATAGCTTCCGAAGCGTTGCCATTCTTCTGCGCTCCTGCCGCTTGTCGTAAAAAATGGTAAACACGCGGAGTGTATCGCGCCACTTTCGCGAGTAACTGAATCTTTGGACTCGTCGTATGCGTCCGTGGAAAGCTCGACAGCCTTTAATCGTGCATATACTTTGTATCGATCGTTTCAGACATGCGTCCGTCCGCTTCCTCCTCCTTTTTGATGTTGCAACAGTGTCGTGTCACCTCGTTCGGAGGTAATAAGCGTACATACGTTGCAGCGCATGTCGTAACATCCGCGCATTATCGGGAGGATCGGCGAAACGAATGCAGTTGGTAATATGAAAATATGAACAAAGGTCGTGGTAACCGTTCCTGTTGCGAGCTACATTAAAAATAGCCGGCCTTCGCCGCTAATGTGACGTTCAGTTTTTGTCGCGGATAGGTAAAACGGTACCTAGATCAGACCAAATCAATATCACTGAACGGAGAAGGGAGTTCAAGGCATTGTAGCGAACTTCGTTTCGAACATAGCTAGAACCGCGCTAATAACTTATCAAATATTCAGTATAGTTTTAACGAGTGAACGCAACGAAACTAAAACCTCTACAACCTGATGTTCTGTGGTTGCACGTGATGACAACTTTATTCAATTGTAATTCGATATATTACTTTACCAATCGAATCGAGAATATCTGAAAGACGCTAAAATTGTGCAGTGTGAACGTAACGAGTTCCGAACTATACCGAAAATACTGTGATAGAAAGTAAAGCTGTTAGAGTTTAACTAGTGGCAGGACAATGAAACACCGATCAGAAATACCTTACCAAAGGTTGCAAAACTAGTAATCTGTGGTAATGAATCAAACTACCTTAAAAGCGACAAGCTAAGACGAATTACGACCTACACCGAATCCCTGTGGACATGATCGTTTTCCCTCGCTGCGTGATACCAGTTATACATCTATTTCGTCGAAGCTAAGCGCCAACTAACCTTCACAGCGTGTTTTAACTCCTTAGTTTATTATAATGATACAGACTCTTGATACAAATTTAAAATTTGATTTAATGAATAGCGTTGTTATTCGTCGTAAATAAGTTAAAATAAACAACTACTTCGCCATGATAGTTTTACAAAAGAAAGAGTCTCTCTTTCAATAAAAACTTGAAATTCCTTTGTCTGTTCGCGGCAAATTAAAAGTAACCAAGAAAAGAATAAGGTAAAGAGTTAATTATGGGCAAAGATTCCGCTCGATCATGTTTACGCGCGCCTTTGCTCGCACGTGACGCGTATATACCAGTCGTGTAGCGCGACAGTAAACTGTAAATACGGTATCAGTCGTACACAGCAAAAATTTCCGACTTGACACTAGGATGCTGATAGTCGGAAAAGTGTTTACAAGACATTGAATTGATTTTTACTTATTATTGAAAAAATTGAAGTATTGATTTTTCATTATATCTACGTTATTATCATCTACAACTTCATTATCTATGTTATCTACAATTTCTCAC